TTTAATTATTATGCTTGTTATATAGCTAGAGTTATATAATCATGTATTTTTCCGTAAAAATCATTTCTAAATATGCCCAACCACCCCAACCTACCAATAAAATCTCCAAAATATGGTTGTGGTTTTGCAAAAAAAAATACACAATCAAAAGTTATATATATATATATATATATATATCTAATATTATTACATCTAAATTATCACGTGATAAAGCAAATCACCAACCAGAATTACAATTCAAGTTACAAACGCAATTACATAAATTAATATCGTCCTGTTTATGATACCAAGAAACTAACATATCACGTATAGAATGATTATTAGGCTTCTTGTTACAGAAGAATGTACAACTTATTAACACGATTAATGATAGACCAATGATTACACGTATGAATGCTAAAATTATATTATTTGATGACTGTTCAGATTTTGATGTTGAATGTGCTTTTGATTTTTTTTTATGTTTTTCACCTCGATTATGTTTTGTGGTTGAAGTTGTAGATTTTTCTGTAATGTTATCAATTAAATTAAAAACAAAGTCTTTAAATAATAATAATGACGATGATGACCATCAACAAACCTTGTTTTACAATATCTTTGTAATAAAGATCATCAACACAACTTGCAATATTTTCATCATCTTCATCAACAAAATGAATTGAATAACCATTTGAATCGTAAATTAATTCTGCTCCAACAACTGCAACCGAAAATTTTCCCTTTCTTTGATGAAATTCATTTTTATATTTTTTAATTTTTTTTATTATTGATTGTTGTCGAGTGCTACTATTGCTATTATTATTTGAATCGCTGCCTTCTGATTCGTCTCTTTTAATCGGTACCTTTCCAACTATTATAGCAAAAACACCAAAATCCGATCCAAGCGTTAACTTTACTAGAGCGCTTTTGACTTTTTGATCGTTTACATCCTTGTCATCCTCATCATCCAAATCCTCGTCCTCTTCTTCACTATAATTGTTGGTCCATTGATTCTCATATAAATATCTAAATCCTGGCAATAAATCTTTAATATCTGTTAAAATTGTTTTTTTAAATCGTAGTGGCAGCCCATCACCAAATTTTTTTGATTCCAAAGAATAACCAGTTTCAAATAATTCATTTTGTTGTTCATTGATTTTTTTAATTCGGGCTAGATATGGTTCATACCATTCATAACAAATGTCCAAGAATATCATCATTTGTTTTTCAATTTCATTTCGACTTAATATGAATTGTAATTGACTGACCGATTGACTCATCTCTGGTTTATCAATTAATGTAATTTCAAATTTGTTCTTTTTTGTTCTTTGAATTGTCTCAAAAAATTTCTGACAAATTTTTAAAATTGCAAATTGTAAATCTTTCTTAGCGAAGTTCTTATAATCGTCGTTCATGTCATCATCAACATCATCATCGTCACTATCACCGACTTTAGTATCGATACTTTTATTGCAGCACTCGACACATTCACAATCTTCCAACATTTTTTTTTAAAAAAAACAATTGTGTGTATCACTCACAAAGTTTTTTTTATTGTGTGATTATATATCACATGCTAATACATTATTAATAATGAAGCACAAAAAAAAAATATTGTGCAGTGTAATAAACTTTTATTAGCTTTCATAAATTGAATTGATTCTCGACAGAAAACTTTACATCTACAACATTCTTCTTGATACTTTGAATTACATCCATTTAATTATTTAATGGACGATATAGTTGATGATTTTATTCAACAGTTCGAAATATTTTTCCTTTTTTAATGGAATGGGGGAATGTTGTTAAATATTTGACAAAAGAAGGGTTTGGGTTTTATTTTACTATTCGTAACGGAAGGAGTCCATTGCAAAACAAATAAATACCAGTTACCATCTCTTCCCGTTCAATTAAGAATTATTATTTAATAATTTATTTATCTTATTATGCAACAATCTTTGTATTAAGTAAAAAAAAATAATTTTGACCGACTTGTAATCTTTTAACTTTCATTTAATACATTTACAAATTAGGATCTTTGTATAATAAACAAATAGTTGTAAACAAATGAGATATATATTAATATTTATATTAATAATCTATCAACAATATTCTTACCTTTAAACTCCAGCCTACAATCCTTCACATGCTTATTATTCACTATATCTTTATATTATAAAAATACCACCACATGGTACACCAACCTGTTTCAAATTCTCGATGACTTGTTTCATGTTAAAGTCTTCGTCCAATCGTTTATCGTGCCATTAATCAATTGCTGATGTTTAACTCTCTGTTTGTTTGCGGTATACTTTTTCATTTGTCAAATCTATTCTACCGGCTGCCTTCATAAATCTTTTGTAAATAGAGTCACCATTGTCGTTTGTAATAACATATTTGACATCAGAACAAACACACTTTCACATCAATCATTTGACCGTTATTGGCAGAATTTTATCTCTGACAAATAATCTCATAACACAGATCCTAATGCAAGCAGTCAATCCGGCCACTGAATCACCTAATGAGATATTTGGTCTGACTGGTGGTTGGTTTGGGAAAACCATTTATATGTCGAAAGC